TGAAATTTGATTATGATCTAATTTTTGAGGGATGTTTCTTCAAAAGAAAGTTTTGGAAAACACGGCTTATTTCGATTTTTGACGTTTTAATGACGCTTTAAAGCGTCACCGGTCCCGAAAGGGTTAATAGTAACAGAAAATGAGTTACTTTATAGTAAATTTTATTAACAACGCAATTTCATAGTTTTAGATAATGAATTAAATTGGCATCATCAAGCAAAAAGCTAATAATCATAAACGTTATCTATTCTATGATAGATTTGCTCGCATTAGAAAAAAGAAGATATATTAAAATAAACGCTGACAAAGCTTGAATATCTTTCACTCAGAAATGATCTTTTCTAGAGGAATAAACGACTATATTCTACATCTATGATTTTAGCTAATGAGCACTTGAAAAGTGGTTGATAGAACTGGATAATGGAATGACTATACTGTAAATGCGATTGTTTCACCTAGATGCATTCCTAGATGCAGTAGTCCATACCGCAAAAAAACGAATAGGCGATGTCGAATGAGTTATCATTTCGTATCTCTGTTCGACAACATTGTCAATGCGGCAAATCAGCTTCTATTTTCTCTATGTGTTTAGTATCGCTCTATCTAAATAAGCCGCACTGCTTTTGCAAGTGAGAAATGAATCTACAGTTACGCCTCGGCTAAGAGTGGCTAGTGAATGACATTTTTTCGTCTTTTGCTACCTCTGTTTGCCGAACCACGCAATACTTTAGGTTGAAAATTCTTTTGCTAATGTAAGTCTGCTAGTTCTCCCAGCTTGATTGATTGCATTGATCAACAGTTATAGCGAAAAGTGAGATCGTGACGGAATGACAAAAATGAAAATTTTTTTTCAGACCTTTATGAATTTTCAGTATTACTCTAAAGTGAGACTTTGAATGAAAACGCTTAGTACGAAAGAGTTGTAGAGAATCGGGTTTCCAAAATCTCTATTTACTTTTGTTTGTATGTATGTATTTAGATCAAAGAAAAACAGTTAAAATATGCTCCATGACAGAATGACATCGATTTTTGTGCTTCCAATTAAGAAGGTTTCGTCATCCTTTTTTCGATAGTTAAAAGTCACAATAAATCGTAATTTTGATCGGTACACATACTATCAACTTTTCTGCAAAAGATAAACTGAAAGAGAAACTTAAAGCTTTTTGTTAAAGCTTCTAAAAGTCTCTTAGAAAAAGAGTTCCAAAATAATTTCGTCAAAAAATAGCGAAAAATGGTAAAAAGTTCTTTCTTTTTTCAAATATTTTCCCCGATGTTCAAACTTCAAAACAAATAGTGCGTTTTGTAGAGAATTCAATTCTCTATCCGACAGCATAGTTTCTAGACTTTTAGAAGGAAAAAGTAGACCGGGAAATTAAAATTAAAATAAAATTTTAAAATTTAAATTCGAAGTTTTGTTAATAATAAAGAGTTGATATTCGTAATCACCATAAAAAGCTGCGTCTGATGTATATTTAAGGCTGATTTGAGAAAAAAAATTTCCTTCAACCATCTGATTCAAAGGTTATCATTAGCCGATCAAACCGAGTAGTTATTTTTTCTCTATTCCAATCCTTGTATTCTTTGAAATAAATTATTTATTTTATAAAAGCAAATCAACTTCTAAATTATAATATGAGTAGTACACATCAAAAGAAAAAAAAATAAGCTTTCTATATTTCAGTCTACTACTCGCCGCGTTAGAACAATAGCAAACGGACATACTACATTTGTCAACAGGAGAATGTTTTTTATTGTTAGTAGGAGACGTACTTCTAATCACTAGTTATTAGAGTTGTTTGTTTGAATTAACACATGTAAACCTGCGATATAACATACTACTATTTAGGATGATATTGTTTGAGAACCCAAAACAAGTGTTTGTGAATGCACCGCTCTTTCCTCACCATTCGCATTTATTAGCCGTGTTTCAATATTCATACCATAACCTAAGTAAATATCAATTGATCATTTAAAAGATAGTAAAAACGTAAACTGTTCCTACTACTAGTACTTTTTCATTTACATACCCCATGAAGCTAACTCATTATTAACAATTTTATTTGAACGATTTAACGTTTCTTGTGATTGTTTAAGTGCATTTTTAGCATAAATTTTTAGTTCTTTACCATGTTCAATAATTAAACCTGATGGAAAAGTATATCGCAATTCCGGCAATGAATCAATACGTCGTTTTAATATCCAATATGACACATTTACATCTTCCGATACTGAAGTATTTTCTAATGTTATAAATTCACCATATGAAGCACACTCTTCTACAAAATAATAATTAATATAAAAGAGATAGTTTTCAGATTCCATTGGAGAAGTTTAGCAAAACAATAGTTGCTTATGACGACGGAAACTGTGATTAGAAACAACTTTTTCCATGGAGAAAAGATAGAGGTTCAATTTCTACTTGAAGCAGCAGCTTTCTTTCTATTCACTGTCGTGTTATAATCTCTCGGTGGTTGCAAGTAAACATCAGAGTCATAAAACTAACACGCTTTCTCGTCTTCCTCTTTTTCTGGTTTCTTTCGAGAACGTCGGTACTGTTTGTAGTCTTCCTGACTTCTGCCAGTCTCTCGAAATTGTTTGCGCCTGTAGTTTATCAGTTTACTGCAAAATTTCACTGTCGATTGTCGATTAGATACGATTTTTCACTCTTTCCTTTCGGCAGATTGCGAGTTTCGATGAGTACATGTTAATCTTTCCTAAATTTGTTTACGTCTCGACTACTTTACCGATGTAATTCGTACTTCTCAGATTTACAGTTCTTTCCGTCCTTTTTTTGCTGCTTCTTGTTCTTTTCCTTGAATGTTCTGTCACTCGCATTCGGACTTGTAGCGATGTCTAGTTAATCAGATCGAGCAAAGAACAATTTGCTTTTCAAGTGAACAGCTCAGTGAATGACGGTATAGTATCTTATAGCACCTTGTCAGTAACAAAGATCTAAAAAACTCGCCATTTACATCCACGATTTCGTACGTCAATTTGAATAAAATAGCTATGCTTTGTTTTCTAATCTTGATACTGAACTTATGTAACTGAAAACGGTACTAACTGGTAGAAAGCGTCTGTTTCTTGCACAGAAAGTTTTCAGTCGATTTCCAGTTACAACACAGTCAAATAGCTTAACAAATATTTATCATCAACTTTAGAAGCAAGTTAAAAAAAATTCATTCTATTGTTCAACTTACTGATACCAACTGGTCCTCTTTTAGTTTTCTTTGTAAGTACTTTTCCCGATTCACTACCAAATGATGTTGTATCAGTTGGTACAATAACTGGTTGTTGTCCTTCAAATTCTATTTCCAATAAATGTCGACAAATAATTATTTCTGTTTCTAAATGAGTTTTACTACAACAGACAGATAGAAAAATAAATGAAAAAACTGAAACAAAAACTTCTTGTGTATGAGACAATGAAAGTTAAGTGAACTACTTTCGCTATACATCTCTTTTTGATAGATTTCTATAGCAGCCTGTAAAATTTTAGTATCGTTCTACTTGTCGATATATACGAGCTTTTATTACTGCCACTTTCTCCTCACTTACTTCCAGTGATCTTAAATTCTTCTGCATGCTTAATATAAATGCACTCTCTCCACACAAGTTCTCACAAACCGTTAGAAGGCTGTTTACTGTAGACAAAATACAAACCTTCGCAATATTTCAGCAATATCAAATGCCAATTGTTCAATTTGTTCTTGATGTACTTGTACATCTTTTTCATAAGCATCATATGATGCAATATTTTCTTCTTCAACAGTCTTCAATTCTACTTCAAATTTGGCTAAAAATAGGCAGAAATCAGTTTTAGCTCATCAAATACAAGCTGAAGAAGAAAAACAATTATTTTTACCATATTTTTCTTGTAATTCAATATACAAGTCGTTGTTATGTGTTAACATTTTCTGTGTTTGTTCGATTTCTACTTCCGTTTGTATTATTTCTTGTTCTGCTTGTAATACTAATAAACGTTTTATTTCCTTTTGTGCTTCTTCTAACCTAATACTATAATATTCATCCATTTGTTTATAGAATGAACTATATAGTAATTCAAAGTCACGACGTATAAAACTTATGGCTCTTTCTAATTCTTTACCATAAAATTGTTTTATATCAATAGTATTTGGTTGAATTGATAATTGCTTAAATTCTCTAAAAGAAAAAGTTTAGATCTTCTGTCGAACGTTATGTTATTGTGTCTAAGAATAAGAACTGTGATTGTGTAACACTTTGTTAACACTAAGTTTATAAGACTTCAAAGTCGATATAGTCATACAGAAGAAAGGCAGTACAACACGTCCTTTCGATCTACATTATCAAATAGTTTGTGGAACTAGTAAAAATTGATCTAATAAATCAGTATAGATACTGGTACAGGCGCATATCTACATAGACCTTATCATATATGATTTCTAGTTTTAATCTGGATCCAAGTGTCAAAACATTACTAATACTCATGAGAATTTGCTTAAAACTTTTTGGACATGTGTACTTAAATGATTTAAGCAGGATTCCGAATATAACTAAATAGACGAATCCGTCTTTAAGGCTGATTAATTCAAAGAGTTCCTTCTCACCTCGTTACAATGACAACAATTTTTATACGGTACCGTACCAATGAAGAAGTTTCGCTACGACTCATCGAAAATCTCATTTTATAAGATGGGATGACTCTCGACTTCGTTTGCAGTCCTGGTTCAGAGCACCTTCGATTTTTATACAGAGCAAATTTTCTTTAATCAGAGAAAATGAGAGAGGCAATGGACATATCTCTTCACAATCTCGTAATTAGAAAACAGCGAGTTCGGTTCCGTATTCAGCTTCAAAAAACGATATCGGACCAGCGGTCAGGTCTGAGTATGAGGCATGGGCTCATCGTTTTCTACAAGGAAGCGACGAGAAAATTCATGCGTTTCCGCTCATTTGATACGTGATTAAGCTCATCCCCTCATTTCTTTTTCTCTTCTGTTGTATCTACAATGTTCTATTGAGGGGAAAATGTGTTTTGATGGCCAGATTTCTTTCTATCGAAATGATCACCCAAAAATTACATTTTTGATCACCAAATCAATTAAAGAAAATATATATAAGAAGAATACATAGCAACTAATTAACAATGATTACCAATCAATGAGTAGACAGACAAGAAAAAGAATATAAAGAAAGTATATATAAGAAGAAATATGAGCAGAACAGAAATTTAATTTCAAGGGTTGAAGTTTTCAGAAATTTTACACAACAATCTTGCAGTTAAGCATGAACAACAATAGATTTCGAATGTTTATTTTCGGGAACAAGAGTAAAAAGTTCGAATTTTTTGAAAATTTTTTAAAAAATGATTCTTCTAGAAGATTGCAAAAAACTTAAACAACAGAGATGGTGGCGAGAGTAAGCCATTCGACAACATTCTAGCAGTGAAACGACAAAAAACTGAAGCTCTTAGTTCATATCAGCAAAGTCAGCATAAGATCAGAGTTGTAGTTTATGTCGGGCTACAAAAATATAACATTAATTTATTTGTATATATTCGTACTTATATTAATAAGTTAAACTTTCTTTATATTCTTTTTCTTGTCTGTCTGCTCATTAATTGGTAATCATTGCTAATTAATTACTATATATTCTTATATATATTTTCTAATTTAAATTTTCTTTAATTGATTTGGTGATCATTTCGATAGAAAGAAATTTGGTGATCAAAAAAATACATACCCTTCTATTGATGATAATTACACTTTCTTCGTCTCTCAAGGATCCTTTGTTTACTTCTACACTGTTAAAGTGTCTTGATAAACCACTCGGATGGCTTTTAAAAATTTGTTCACAGCGTACCATAGGCACATGGTCTCATCTTTTTTCGATTAATCGTCTTAATGATTAAAATAAACACGCTGCATTTTTCTTTGAAAGAAATAGGTTAGGTGCGTTTGGACGTCTTCACTAATATATCATAAATCATAATACCTTAGCCACGATTGTGAATGTCAGTCATAAGGACAGTTGTATTTTTTTCAGAACAGAAATATTCTACTGTTCTTCTTTTTTTTTGTCATGTATCGTGTGATGTGTATGGTGCGACATCTTCTTTTTTTTTTCTCTATAATCTATAAAAATATTAGTCTACTCATTTTCCTTAGTCAATGCATATTCTTATATTCTAGTATCTTTTCTAAAAATAAATTTATTGATTGACCGATCAACAACAATTGGACCACTCAGCGAACCAGTAGAAAGGCCAAAGTCAATACATGACACAATCAAGACATCTAGTCTTCCATCAGCTAAGAAAAAATCACGTAGTCATATTTAAGGCACTGAAAATGAAACGAGAGTTTTGTTAGAAACTGCTGAGTCATACTAGTGGCAAAAAATCGTAAAGAGAAATCAGAAGAAAAACGTACTCTGGCTGCATTATTTCTTTAACAACTATACATAATCCACGTAACTCAAGACTTCGCTGATCAAGTTTTTGAAAAAATTATTTTAGAGTAGAACTGAACGAAGCATATCACTAGACGCAGTTTTTGGCACTGATAACGAATCTCACATTTGTTTTTTAAAAAGTTAAACTTTTTGCACCAAAAATCCAGTTTTACATTTATTGAAAACTGTATTTTCAATTTCCTCACCTAGACACTTCTTCAATCGATGGAGAATTCGATTCTCTACAAGATGGTATGTTTTTTTTTGAAGTTTAGACTCAAAACAAGCTTTTTAATAAAGTTTTAAGTTTGAAGATTCTCACACAATTCTAAGAAAATGGAAACTTTTTTTCCGCTTTATTTTCACGTTAGTCTATATTAGATGCCTAACACTAAGTCCGATGTGAAAATGAAATCCTTTGAGCGATGTTTAGTGTTCCAAACTTTGTTGGGAAAAACGTGTGTCGCAGCCTCACGACAATAAAACGCAATTATTGAGGGATGGAAAGCTCATTGGAAAGATCTTTTTTTAGCAATCAGTAGTTCATTCACTCCTCTACAAACTTTGCTAGAGGCGCTTTTTACTAGCTCTTCTAAATTCGCAGCAAATTAGCTTTTAATGAGAAAAACTTCGAATTTAGAGCCTTTTTTGTCATAGCGTCATACGCCGAAAAACGGTTCTAAAAATTCAAGCCTTTAACCACATACCTTCATTTTTATACCAAAAGTAGAGTATGGGAAGCTGCGTCGAATGGCGCAAGAACGAAGTTTCTAGCTCTTACACTTTTTGAGAAAAGCTCAAATTACTGTGTCAAAAATATCACAGCGTCACGCTTGTACAAGCCGTATAGTAACTATTGTATTTTCAACTAAACGATAATAGCAGTTTTTGGATATTATATAAATGATTTATCTTATTTCTACTGTGATCGAGTCGTTTTTAGTTTAATAATTTAATAATTCTTACAATTCTTATCCTTTTAATCCGTTGCTTATTTATTTAATTATATCACATTCCTCTAATTAAAAGTTTTCTCATAGTAATCTGCTTTGATAGAGCATCCGAGCATAAAACGCTTGACTTACAAGGGAAAAGATACTCAAGCTACCTTGATTAATCATCCACAGCGTCTTATGACTACACAATGGGTGTAGAATCAGGCACATTCGTAAGGTTTAAAAACATACGCGCACTAATCTAACACTGTCTCAAAACAATACAACCTCTTCCTTTCAAACACGTTCAATTCATACAGCAAATTTTCTCTAAGACGATAGCTAAAAAGCGAAATAAAACATACTTCATGGTGATTGAATATATATTTTTAATAAATGGTATTTCAATTTTCAATGATTGTACTCTTAACTCTAATTTCATTCGACTTGATTTCGATTTATATGATTCGTCAGTTACTTGAAAATAATTTTGTACTACTGCGTCACGTTTTGCTAATGAAACTTTAACATCTTCTTCAATATCTGCATATGATTGGCGTAATTTTAATAGATCCGTTGATGATTTATTTAATTCATTTTCTAGTTGTACACATTTTTCTTTTTTGTTATCGAACCATCGTTGTTCGATATCAAAAAGCTCAAGATATTTATTACTCACAAATTGTAATCGTTCTAAATCAATTTCTAAATCAATTTTATCAGACGACACTTGACTGGTATCTGAACGCAATTGATAAAATTTAACTGGATATTGTGAAAAAAATAGTTCATACCATTGTTGACGTATTTCATCAAATTGTAAGTTTAATTTTGAATGTTTTGATTCTAACCTTTTCACATAATCAAGATACAAGCTAAATCTTTTATTAAATTCGATTAATTCTTCTTTTTCACGTTCCTCTTGTCGACGTATATTATTATTAACTTGTAAAGTAACTGATGTTAATGCATACATTGAAGATGAACGGTTTTCAGTTCGCAACAAACGATTTGTAGACATTATTAGTGCAGAATGCTTCACTTTAACGATCAATTAATACTGAATCAACAGAGTCACAAAGTTTACCACTTGTTTGACTTGTAGTTAATATATCTAAATTGACAATAACACGACATAATGTTGAGCAGTATAACCCACTCATAATTAAGTTTATTGAATCAGTGGGCCTTGTTATTGTTTTGTTTGTCAATGTTTTAACTTTTTTAACTATTAGTTATGTCTTAGAGTATGTATCAGAGACCATCGCAGGGCGATTTTTTTCGTCCTACCCTATCAGAAAATTACTTATAAAAAATTTTTGGCCTTGTCCTATCCTATCTGGCTGAGCAGGACGCCTTGCAGTGCAGAAGAAAGTTTTTTCCTTAAC